CAAACTTTGATTTTGTTTTTCTCCATTTGATTTCAAGGATACTTTTATCATGTGAGAGGATTATGACCTTGGTTTAATAATATTTGGTTAGTTATCTGATTTAGCTATGTATTTTGGTTTGATTATTCGGTTTAGCAAACACATTAAGTGTAACCTTTCTTTGTTAAGGAAAACATTATTCAATGAAAATCACAATTTATCTTCTTCAATCTCTTACTCTCTCTGTTCATCGTCATCACCACAAAAGAAAGCCCATATTAATCAGTACCAGAACATTATTACGAATCTGGAATTCAAATATATATATAAACTTGTCGGTAAATCTCAACTGATGAACTGAAATATATATAACAATAAGAGTTTGGCACGTTAAAATAGTTCATAAAAGGAAGATTCCATGTGAAGTACAAAAAAAAAAACTCCGACACAACTTAACCACTTAAAACAGTCATATATCACTAAGCTATAATATGTCAGCTTTAATCACGTCATTTGGGTGTTAATCTATACAACATAAACAAATATACAACTATTTTAAAATAAGTAACAAAAATATTACAAATTCACATATCTTTCCAAATAAAATTTTAAAATTAAAATATTAAATTTTGATGATACTTCCTAAATTGGATATTAAAAAGCTTTCTCCCTCCATTTAACTTTTTTTTTTCTTTTTCCCATTTGTTTATTCAAAAACTGTAACAAAAGAGAGATCAGCTAATACAGTGAACTGAAGAAGAAGAAGAAGCGCTCTCTCTCTCTATAGATCTCTCTTCCATGGCTAATCTCACTTACTGTACTAACTGATCTCTCTCTCTCTCTCTCTTTTCTAAATTCCACTTTCTCTCAGACCGATGCATCCGAATCATACCCCTAGAAGAACAAGAACCACTCTGTTCCGAAGATCCAAGACTTTACCGACGCACTCTTATCGGAGATTCACAACTCCTGTGATTCCCTCCTTCAGATATGACGACGACGATGACTCCCTCTCCTCTGATCTCCTCCGTGAAGACGATGGTGATTCAACTAACTTCTCCGCGGTTCTGAATTCCGAGGAGAAACCAGTGGCGGTGGTGCCGAGTCAATCCCCGAGTCAAAGGATAACTCGGTTGTGGACTCACTTCTCACTCACTCACTGCGTATGTTTTTGAGTTTTTTTTTGTCTCTGTTCGTATCTTGGCTCTTTAGCGTTGTTGTATCTATTTGATGGTGATTGATTTGTTGTTTTTCTAATGTTCTGTTTTTTACGATTCTTGCAGCTCAAGTTCAGTTGTTCGTTTTCTTTTACTTATGTTATGTTTCTTCGGGCTAAAGTTTCAAGACTAGAGGTATGTTTTGTAATATTTCTGATTACAAGAACAAGAAACATCAGTAGTTCAACTAGGAGAATGATAAGTGTTTTGTTTTTTTTTTCTTGTTACAGACAGAGAACTATGTTCTTCTAACAAGATGTAACAGTAGCAGAGTTCTAGGAAGTGACAACGATGAGATTCCACAACTAGAAGGAACTAGTTCTAGAGCTGTTGTTTTATTCAGTGTGATTATTACCTTTGTGTTACCATTTTTGTTATACATGTATCTTGACGATCTCTCTCATATCAAGAATCTATTGAGACGAACTGATCAGAAGAAAGAAGATGTTCCTTTGAAGAAAAGAATAGCTTATTCATTGGATGTGTGTTTCTCAGTGTATCCATATGCTAAGCTGCTTGCTCTTCTTTTTGCAACGGTGGTTCTTATAGTTTACGGTGGATTAGCTTTGTATGCGGTTAGCGACTGCGGGGTCGATGAAGCGCTTTGGCTTTCGTGGACTTTTGTGGCGGATTCGGGAAGCCACGCTGATAGAGTTGGTGTTGGAGCGAGGATAGTTTCAGTTGCTATAAGTGCAGGAGGCATGTTGATATTTGCTACAATGCTTGGACTTATTTCAGATGCTATCTCCAAGATGGTAGATTCTCTTAGGAAAGGGAAAAGTGAAGTTCTTGAAAGCAATCATATACTCATTCTTGGATGGAGTGATAAATTGGTATGCCTATTATAACCATTTTTGGTAGGATAATATTTTAGAAATAAGAGAAAATTTTGTGTGTATAGGGTTCACTCTTGAAGCAGCTGGCAATAGCAAATAAAAGCATTGGTGGAGGTGTTGTGGTGGTGCTAGCAGAAAGAGACAAGGAAGAGATGGAGACTGATATTGCCAAATTTGAATTTGATTTAATGGGAACATCAGTCATATGCAGAAGTGGAAGTGCACTTATACTTGCTGATCTGAAGAAGGTCAAGTTTCTCAAGCTTTAAATTGCATAAGTCTTTTGCTAGTGGTGAAGCTTCTGACAGTGTTAACATTTACCTTTAGGTGTCAGTTTCGAATGCGCGTGCTATCATTGTACTAGGATCTGATGAAAACGCAGACCAGGTTTGGTTTATTGTTATTTATCACTGCATATTATATGGTGTTACTGTTTCTTTTGAAGTAGTATTAATCACTTCTGGATGATTTTAAACAGAGCGATGCACGTGCCTTAAGGGTTGTACTAAGTCTTACAGGAGTAAAGGAAGGTTGGAAGGGACATGTTGTGGTTGAAATGTGTGATCTAGATAACGAGCCATTGGTGAAGCTTGTTGGTGGAGAACGTATTGAAACAGTTGTAGCTCATGATGTGATTGGACGCCTTATGATACAATGTGCTCTTCAACCTGGCCTTGCGCAGGTTAGTCTGTTCAACTAGTCTGAAGCACACTTGAAAGTCTACATGTGTTCTTATTCTTTTAACTCTCCCTTAGTTTGTTCCTTCTTTCATTGTCAGATATGGGAAGATATTTTAGGTTTTGAGAACGCTGAATTTTACATAAAGAAGTGGCCTCAGCTTGATGGTTACCGTTTTGAAGATGTCCTCATTTCGTTTCCCAATGCGATTCCCTGCGGAGTTAAGGTTGCAGCAGATGGGAAGATAGTTTTGAATCCTAGTGATGACTATGTTCTGGAAGCAGGAGATGAAATACTTGTTATAGCTGAGGATGATGACACTTATGCTCCTGGTTCACTTCCAGAGGTATGTTTCCTTCATTTTTAGCCTAATATTGCTATATTGGTTCAATAACTACATCTTTATTGTAGGTACGGATGTGTCATTTTCCCAAAATGCAGGATCCTCCAAAATATCCAGAGAAAATACTATTTTGTGGATGGCGCCGTGACATTGATGATATGATCAAGGTACATGGTATATCAAGATAGAGAGGAGAACTATTATAGCATAGATATATTAGTAAAGATTTGTTCTATCCATTGATTAGTTATGAAGTTTTGTTTTTCAACCTGTAGGTGTTAGAAGCTCTGCTTGCGCCTGGATCTGAGTTATGGATGTTTAATGAGGTTCCAGATCAAGAAAGAGAGAAAAAGCTGACTGATGCAGGACTAAACATATCCAAATTGGTGAATATTAAACTTGTACATAGGCAGGGAAATGCAGGAGTCAGGCGTCATTTAGAGAGTCTCCCTCTAGAAACTTTTGATTCCGTAAGTTTTCTTGCATTTCTTCTTGTTGATGTAACATGGATATGCCACTTTCCACCATTTTCATGATTACCAAATCAAATTGCAGATCTTAATTCTTGCAGAACAGTCATTGGAGAACTCTATTGTTCATTCAGACTCTCGATCTCTTGCTACGCTTCTCCTTATTCGGGATATACAGGTACATGTCCTATGTCTTTTCTAGTATATATATATTCAGTTGTGTTATCATCCGTGAAAACTTCAATCTTAATGCCTAGTTCATATCTTTGAGGTTTTGAGGTTGGTTTTTAGCATATTTAAATCATTATGCATGGATGTCTCTTTAGCTCATAACATATATATGACTACTAATGGAAGCTGCTGTTTCATTTGTTAATCAACAGTCAAAAAGACTTCCATACAAAGATGCAAAGTCAAGCAGTTTACGAATATCTGGATTCCCCAATTGTTGTTGGATCCGTAAAATGCAGCAAGCTTCAGATAAATCAATTGTGATAAGTGAAATTCTTGATTCAAGAACAAAGAACCTTGTATCTGTTTCCAGGATCAGTGATTACGTACTATCAAATGAGTTAGTTAGTATGGCTCTTGCGATGGTCGCAGAGGATAAACAAATAAACCGCGTTTTAAAAGAGCTTTTCGCGGAAAAGGTACATGAGAACTCACTTGCTTTGCTTCTCTAGAGTGGAGATATGTTCAGTTTGTTCTGATGAGTAAAGTCATTTTTTATTGCAGGGTAATGAATTGTGCATAAGACCTGCAGAGTTTTACATATATGACCAAGAAAAGGTTTGCTTTTATGATATCATGAGAAGGGCTCGTCAACGAGAGGAAATCATAATCGGTTATCGCCTTGCGGGTATGGACCAAGCTGTGATTAATCCTACAGATAAATCCAAGCTTACAAAATGGACCCTTGATGATGTTTTTGTAGTCATCGCCTCAAGTCAGTAACTTACATAACCGTAGATGATCTCTGACCATTTTAAAAACTCCAGGAAGATTATGGTAAAGTGAGTACCTCCAATCTTTCCGGCAACTTGGCCTGACTATATTCCTAGAAGATGCAAGAATCATTTAAGACTCCAACTTATTTAGTCACTACTAAACAGAGACAATTATTTGTACAGTAGACGACCAAAACACTTACTCTTCAATAAAAATCTGTATCTTATTTTAGTTCTACCACATGAAAGAAGTGAACCTTTCTATTCAACAAAAGCTGTGTCATTGCGCCTTTAACTAACCATCAATGGTTTACAAGTGAAATGATGCATATTCTTCGTAAATATTCACCAAATTATCAAGCCTGTAGCAACTGTGATTCATCAGACAGTTGCAGCAAGATCATACTTTTACCAATTCAGATGACTTGGGGGACTGTAAGCACTGCGGTGTTAGGACAACATATACATATTATGCAAGAACAGAACCAGGTGGCTTGCTCAATTGAGTTCTCATGTACATTCAAACTGAATTACCAAAACAAAACAAGATGTGAACAGTTTGAACTATATATGTTTGATGTGCAAGAAGAGAACCAGGTGGTTGCTCAACTGAGTTCTCATGTAAATTCAACCTGAATAACCAAAATGAAACAAGATTTGAACCATATGAAGATTTCAGAAGTTTGGTGGGGATAACAAACAAAACAGTCTCAAGATCTTCTTCTTCGTTTCCTCTTCTCTCTGTTGCTTTCATCTGAACTTGAAGAAGATGATGAGTCTGACTCAGAATCAGACTCTGGACCAGAATTGTCAGATCCAGATGACAATCCTGATTCTGATTCCAAAACTTTCTTCTGCTTTTGCAAGATGAGGCGTGGCATGTTCTTCAGATACTCTCTGAGATTTGTGATGCCTGCAAGACTAATCTCGGTAAAGAAGTTGATTGCAAACCTAATGTTCTTTAGGTTGTCTTTAGGGAAGATAGATTCAAATGATTCCTGCATTGTTGGATCCTGAAGCCTCTCATTAAGTTCCTTAATCCCCAAGTCATCTGACAGTTTCTGCAATCAACACAAAGTTTGTAACCAAATCAGCACAACAGTCTTCAAATAAAAAAACTCTGATTAGTATTGTACAGTAATACACTAATATATTCATAGTTTAGGCTACTTAATTAATCATATGAAAAAGGACTACATGAACTCATGTCTCGGAAATGGTAAAATGAAAATTATAAGTTGAGGATTTATAGTTACCAGGAAAAGGGTCTTAGTGAAGATACGAGAAGAGGAAGTTGTGTCCTCTACATTTAACCTAATGTAAGCAAGAACATGCCAAGGGAGAGCACCTGTGCTAAGTAATTGACCAAAGAGCATCCCATGTAAGACGTTGGTACTCTTCGCTGCTCTTGTCTTTCACATCATTCATCATGCGTGTGTTAGCTTGAACGGAGTGAATATAAACTCCACCACTCTTTCCCAAAGAGATATCATTGTAGTCTTTTCTAATCTTATCTCTTTTACTGATATCAAGATCACGTCGCGCGAGCTTGTACGGTCCTCGTGATCATCCGAAACCCTAACCCTAACCCTATCCTACGAAAATGATCAGATCACACTCAACCTAATTGCAAACAAGTAAGAACCTTTCTTGTAACCGGAGACAAGACAACCCTAGCCTATTCACCGATCTGAGAAGCCTGTGGCTAGCCTATGTTGTCGAGGGGTTGTACAATGTCGTTTTTGTAGTTCTCGAAACTGGTATGGGTCAAGGCCCAATATGAGATATATAATAAAAGTTAAATCGATTCTGTCTGAAATGTGAGAAAAAAACAAAAAAAAGGAAAACAATCTGATTGGTTGGAGTAAGAAGCAAATGTAATTAATAAAGTTTGTAGTTTCGTTTCGTTAGAGCAGCTCTGTTCAAACAAAATTGGTCGTATCGTCTCCCAGATTTGTGCAACATCTAAAGATCTTTACTTTGATTGCTTTCCATGAATTGCGTAATCACAGAGGATGATGAATTGGTCTCTCCTTATCCCCTCCTCTTTAAATCCGTCTCCTTCATCCCAATCACTCACTATCTCATCCTCTTCTTCCTCTCAATCCTAGTTTTCCTCTACTTCTTCCTCGAGATTCATTTCCCTAAATCAGATCCTATCTCTCTCACTTTCAATCCCACCTCTGACTTCTGTCAGTTTATTGTCTCAAAGTGTCGTCTTCTTCATGGACGGTAATGGTTTTTTTTTTAACTGTTCTTGATCCATCATTGCATAAAAATACGATCTTTCTTTCTTATGTAAAGATTTGTAAGCTTTTGCAGATACTTTCCTACGTTCTGGCTTTCAAGCCCTCATCTTCAAACAGCTTTCCTTAGTCTTTTTGGAAAGTCCCCTCATTTCTCCTATAAGCGGTGAGCTCAAAGACCATATCTTTTACTTGCTCAGATCTTGTAGGCACACAACACTTTTGTGTTCTTAAAAAACTGATTGTAAAGATAATATTTTTCTAAAGACTTGATCTTGGAGATGTATGAATAGATTCTAATCTCTTTTCTGTGGTCAGAATTCTCTATCAGGCAACAGATGGTGGCACAATTGCTTTGGATTGGTTAATGCATTCTGATGGTTGGTGTTAAGAAATCATAATTACACATTTTCTGTTTTCAGTTTAATTCTTTGTATTGTCCTCTGCAGTTGTGGAAGGCATATCTCAGGTGGTCAATGGCTCAACCCCTGGAACTGATAGGACTCCAATTGCTATTGTGGTTCCAGGGCTCACTAGTGATTCTTCTGCTGCAGTAAATTTCCACCACTCCTTTCTACTTTATTCCTCTGTTTCCGTTTCTTTCTCTTTGGGAAAATCTCATGTATCTCTTGCTTTTGCTTACTCAAACCCCTTGTTTTGTTCTTTTTTTTCACAGTATATTAAACATATTGCCTTTACGCTGGCAAAGGAAGGATGGAATGTTGTTGTCCAAAACCACCGTGGACTTGGAGGGATATCTTTAACTGTGAGTTTCTTTGTATTGATATTGACTTCTTGGTTTTGTTTCATTCATCTAGGTGATCTTTTGGATCACAGGTGAGTGGTTTTACTGATTGAATATTTGAATGAGTTGCTAGAAGAATATTTATGATCTTAGTCTTGTATTTCGATATGTTATTGTCAATCTTGTTATCAAATTCACCACTAGCTTATTTTATTTCACAAGCGTATCAGTTGTGAGGTTGATTCATTTAAACTATGCATTTGGATTGGGAATATTATGATTAATTGACTGACTGACTCTCGATTTCATTAATCAGTCAGACTGCGTCTACACTGCTGGGTGGACAGAAGATCTTCGGAAAGTAATTGATCACATCCATACTCAGTTCCCAGAGGCTCCTTTGTTTGCTGTTGGAACAAGCATTGGTGCCAATGTTCTGGTTTGTTATATACCTTTAATTCCCTTAGTCTTGCATCAAATGGTTAAAATATTGTGGCCACCATTGTTTGTTACAACTGGTTTGATAGCGCACATTTTATTCCTACGATGAAATTGAGGGGCGTTCATGTGGTTTGTCTTACTTTTATAATTTATACATCATCCAGGTAAAATATCTTGGGGAGGATGGGCCAAATACACCTCTTATCGGAGCTACTGCTGTGTGCTCTCCCTGGGATCTTTTGGTAAGTAGATCCTCACATCCACTCTAACTAACATTTTGTGATAGTGAAAAAATGTCTCTCTTCATTTCAAGAATAAGGTTCTTGTTTCACATCATCTTCCTTGAGATACTTTAATACTTTGGAATTCACATCATCTTCCTTGAGATACTTTAATACTTTGGAAAAGCTTGGCTGTGCTTTAGAAGCTAGTTGTTTTTATTGATCTCATCTTGTGTCCTCTTTGATGTTTCTCTTCATTTCACTTCCCATTTCTCGTTTGATTTCAGTTTCTCTTTTTGGTAATATTCCCTTTGATCAATGAGTTTCTGCTTCTAGTATGATTTATTTCAGCATTCCCTTTCTTGAATCGAATTCCTAAAAATGCTCTGGATTATCTAGAAAAGAAAACAGTCAGCCTTACCGTTTAAAATGGATATTTTTGCAGATATGTGATCGATTTATCAACCGAAAACTCGTGCAGAAGTTGTATGACAGAATGCTTACTATTGGTCTACAAGGTTATGCACAATTGTATGTCTAAATTCTTGTATTGTTAACTTTGTATCCGTACCTCTTTTGCTCGCTTTAGTTACTTCTTTCTTGCTCCCTTACACATGGTTGTACTTGTACCTACAGGCACCATTCCATCATTTCTCGTATAGCCGATTGGGAAGGAATTAAGAAGGTGGGTTCTGATTTCATATCAATTTGCCACATCAAATAAATTGACTTAAAAGACTAACAATACATCTTGTGTCTTCTTTTAGTCACGTTCAGTTCGAGAGTTTGACAACTATGCCACCAGACTTGTTGCCAAATTCGAGGTGCGTTCGCTTCTTATTCTCCCTATCCTTTGTTTGATATATCATATCTTTGCATCTAAGTATTAGAAAATCCAATCTTTAATGATGCAGACAACTGATACATACTACAGACGTTCAAGCAGTGCACAATATGTGGGAAATGTCGCTATTCCACTCCTTTGTATCAGTGCTTTGGATGATCCAGTTTGTACTAGGGAAGCTATTCCTTGGGATGAATGTAGGTAAGAATCTATATGCGTTGACCCTCTCCAGTTTTTCTACTCTAGAACTGATGGACTAGATTAATTTGCACAATAGTCAATAGTCTAGTTGACCTAGTTTTACACCGGTTCTCTTATGTTGTAGCCTTGTATGGCCACTGATAAGTCTTCAGATGAAATCATTTTTCTGTTAAGTAATGCCACATCACCTCACTAGCATTCAGAAGTTAGATCGAGGGAACAATGTCCTAACTAGAGGATTTAACAGGATCCGAGTATTTGGGAATTGGTTTTGATATGGGAGAGTAGGATATGCTCTAGAAAGTCAATTTATCTGGTTTGGTTGTTGCTTTTATTCTTGGGTGCTTTAGAAGTTTTCACAAGATTACCTTAGCTAATTGAGGTGGTAATTTTTCTGTTAAAGTGAGTTGGTTAGTTTCTCTGATATATTGAGTTTCCATGCGTGGCTAAATTAAGAACTACAAATGGCTTTAGGCGTGTAGGCGAAATTTGATTAGTTTATTGGCTGTATCTTTCTGTCGCGCGTTGTGATGGGTCTCCCTGTTATGAAACTGATGTTCCAATGTTTTGCAGGGCAAACAAAAACATAGTTCTAGCAACCACAACACATGGTGGTCATCTTGCTTACTATGAAGGGTTGACAGCAACAAGCATGTGGTAATCTGTCTGCATAAGCCTTTAGATACTCATCTCACACTTCTATCCGCAATGAGTTTCTTAGGAATGGAATTGAAAATTTGTGAAACTGTAATGTCTAGGTGGTCTAGGGCTGTGCAAGAATATTTTGAAGTGCTACTCTCCAGCCCCTTTGCAGCCAGAAGGCAGAAGGTAAGAGGAAAATGAGTTATTGTCCAATTCCATGACATCATCCACTCTTAGTCTCTTCTAAGACAAGCATCATTATCATTTTCTATAGATGCAGATCATCCCAGAACCATTGGGATCTTCGATTGATCAAGGACCATTTGTGGATGCTGGAGAAAACGGGATGGTTGCTGTTGCAGTGGACACAACAAGAGCTGATGCAGAACAAGAAGATAGTGCTCAAATTGATGAAAAGACAAATAATCATCCACACAAGGACAATACTCCTCAAGTTTATAACAGTTTACTCGTTCCTTTGAAGAAGAGAGTGGATGCGCTTTCAAGATACAGCCGTAAATCGATTTGGCTGTTGGCATACATTGCTATAGTCACGACGTGGCCACTTGTAGGACCTGCACTTTTGTTTTCCATCAAAAAACGACTCAGAAAGCTGGTAGAGAAATAGAAATCATATTCTATTAGTGCAAAGTAACTATATAGATGACATATGCCTCTACATTGGATTGTAAGCTACTTAAGCCTGCAATAAGTTATTTGCCGTCAATATTATACATTACTCTCTCTCATGACTTTTCCAACCTCAACATGAAGAAGAAAGTAGTGAGAATAGATTAGCTTTCTTGTTTGAGATTGTAGGCTTATAAAAGCGAACTAATCAAATGTATACTCGTGGACTGGATGACAAGAATGTCTGCTTCCTTTGACCAAGTGGCTTTTCAAACTGGTATTTAGGGAAGCTAACATGATTGCAAGAGCTGTTTTGTTGAGTGTAAATACAATTTACCATTTGCCATCAATCCTATCACATGGTTTTCCACCTCAACATTAAAAAACTCCATTATCAGTCAAAAATGGAACTTTAAGGAAGAATATTAATGAAGCAATAGAGGCCACACGAGTAAACAACGCGCCAATGTTTACTATGCTGTTTTAGTTTGGAGAGTGATTTTAACGAATAAATTTTGGACTCTTTGATAAACTTGTAGCTAGTGACTACGGCTCATCTTCATTTTTGGCATTGCCTTTTTCACCTGCCTTGCTCTTTCTTTTGCCTCTTTCTTCCTTATCACTTCTGCACTCAGCTTTGCCTCGGCTTCCTCCATCATTTTCTTCTTTTCTGCTTTTTTCTTCTGCAATGCCTCTTGCCTCGCGTTATGAAGCTCCTTGTATGCTTCCTCTGCTGCCTTTTGCCTACCACTCTCAGTTTTGTTCCGGGCCTTCATTAAATCAAGACACTTGAACTCAACCATCCAACACTTTTAACCAGGCTATATAACTAATCATAAGTTTGCACTTTACCTGGGAGCTGAGTCTGTATCGTCCTACTAAGTCGATGTAATATGGGATTAGCGCCACCAACCGGACGATATCATCCATATGTTTAGCATCGGGTAAGGAAAACCTGAAAAGCAACATCTTCTTGTGCTTGCCAGGGTGTTGGTCAGAGATATGCATCGACATGAAATTCTTCCCATACTTATCCGCAGCCTTGTCACCAAAAACCTACAGAGTTCCATTGCATGCCCGAATCTGGTTAGTGATAGTATCATCGAGATAAATAATGTGCAACGTTAAGCCTACGCTTCAAGAAACTAAAAAGCTTTCTTCCAACAGATCTTACACTCATTGGAAAATAATAATACCACTCGCAAACGTCTGCAATGAACTCAGGAAAAAGCTGCTATGGAGCTGTCAAATTCTGACTACCATTTCTCACTCTGGTAAATTTGATTCTTTCTCACTATATCACTCACCACAGAATACACAGATACGGTTCTACTATAGTATCATCAATCAATCAAACAAATGGAGAACCTTTAGAGAGAAAAATATCTTACCTGATCAAGCACAACGTCTGTGACCATATCTGCAGCTACTTCCTTGGATTCAGAGATCACAGCAAACTCCTCCGACACCCATTTCCTCCCAGCAGGAGGAGACACAATCCCAGCAAATTTCTGCAAATCCCTCAACTCCTTTTGCATCGTTTTCGCGGCCTTCTTCCTCGCCATAGCAAACACAACATGATCCATAGTTTCTTCATTCATATAAACCTCAAAAGTGATCTCATCTTTACAAGGAACCACCAAGTTAAAAAGCCTAGAGGTCAGATCGTGTCTACTCTTAAGCTCTATAGTAGCCAGCAATCCATGGCAATACCTACGACCACTGGCGTAGTATTTGAACACATTCAACGCTTCTTTCAACAACAATGGCGAATCCTCTCCTTCCCCAACTCCAAGCAAACTGAAATTCTTCTGGAATATTGTATCCTTGGAAGCGAATTTAGCCGCCCAAGCTAAAGCGAGACTCTCGTTCTCACGTTTACCAACGAAGTAGTTGATCGAGAGAGCGAGTAAGAAACAGACGCAACCGATCTCCACCGCGTACGACTTGGTCGTCTTCTTTATCATCGGATCAGTAGTATCTTGAGCTTCCGAAGAAGTATTGAGATCCAACGTCTTCGAATCAGCATTTTCTGTAATCAATGGTGATTCAAGTGTCTCAATCTCCACTGGTAGTCCTTCGAACTCGTCTTCATCCCAATATTCAAATGGCGTGGATTGAGGCTCGGGGTCTGATTCAGGTATAAGATCGGAGTCAGATTCAGTTGGTTCAGGTTCCAGCTCAAGATCGGGGAGTGATGAGTGAGACTGAGTGATAAGAGGAGGAGGGAGGGAGTGGTGAAGGTGAGAGGAATCGTCGGAGACATCGTCGTCTTCAGCATCGAATCCTTCAAATTGAGAAGCTGCAAGAAGATGGTGATGAAGGAAGAAGAGGTAGAAGATGAGAGCGAATGAAAAAGGTCGGCTCATTGTGAAAGTGGCGATCTTTTTTAAGGTAAGTGACTCTTTTAAAGGTTGTGTTTTTGGAGGTCAGTGGTTTATTAAGTTGACCAAGAAATGTTCAAAACTTATTTGGGTACAAAAATATCAAATGTTAAACACAGTCAGTATCTATGTATGCACAACAACACTATACAAAAGGAGCTGCTAATACAAAGAAAGGAACATACAAGAAAGAGTTTGTTTTTCTATATAAGTTGAACAGCTGCGATTGATGGGATCTTCTCTCTGAGTTTCTGAGTGACTGCTACTCGAACTGTCATGACTCCAGCAGCAGGTCCTGTGATTCTTATCTTTACTATGGGATCTTCGATTTCCACCAGATCAAGCGACCCATCTGCTGTTCCGATCAAGTATGGCCTGATTTCTTCAAGTACCTACACAATATACATTCACACAAAGCGTTGTTAACATCACCGTATAAACTCGAAAGGATTGAGACATGATGGTCAGACAAGTCGCTTTTAGTAGCATACATAAAACTCTACAAGATTAAGGCATGAATATTGACTTGCTCATAAATTCAGAAAAAGGCCAATACGCAAGCAGTAACACATGCAACAGAAGATCCATTTTGCTAACTTATAGTCTCGGTGTTATACATTTGGCATTTGCAAGTACCAGACATTTGAACAGAGTAAGTAATAATAGAACCACATATGCAAGAGCACTGAAGCAACCTAGAGCTGATACCAAAACTAGCCTTTTCAATGTATTCCTTTTTCAGTTCCAGGCGCGTAAAAACAGTATTTAGACCAATAATATGGATTGAGCAGCTGATAACAGGAAACCACATAGGCAGAGAACATAAGCTAAAGTCAATGCCAATACATAACCTTTTCAATGTTTTCCTCACTTAGTTCAAGGCTACATATATGGATTGAGCAAGTGATAACACGAAATTACATGTGCAGAGAACTTAAGCTAAAGACAATACCAAAATCTAACCTATTTAATGTTTTCCTCATTCAGTTCAAGGCCATATATATGGATTGAGCAAGTGACAACTGGAAACCACATGTGCAGAGAACTTAAGCTAAAGACAATGCCGAAATCTAACCTTTTCAATATTTTCCTCATTCAATTCAAGGCCAGTCTCTTCATCTGGAACTGCTTCCACAGCCACAATTTCAGGGATCTTTTCCATTAGGCGACGCTCAATACCCATCTTCATTGTCATAGTAGAACTTGGGCATGACCCGCAAGCTCCCTGCAGCTTAACTCGCACAATATTTCCATCGATCTCATGTAACGCCACATTACCACCATCAGACATAAGGTATGGTCTGATTTCGTCCAAAACGCTTTCAACATTTTCCTCAGTGAGGGGTACTTCCAAGATTGGGTCTGGCGTTGCCACCGCCTTTACAACTGTAAAAATCCAGAAATCAACCGTAAACCTAAATACATATATCTCTAGGAAACATACACACACAGGAAGCAATAATCTATATCTAAGAAAGATTCTTCTGAATACAAAACCACCCATCTACATCGAGACATCGATAAGTTCAAGATTCAAAGACAAATTTTGATCATTAATCAGAATGATACAATAACGAGGAAAAGATGAGTAATAGAATCAACATCGAGACATCGTTCTTAACGGCGATAGAGAGATAATAGTAATCTGACCTTTGGATCGTCGGAAAAGCTGTCGAGTAGAGAGAGACCTAGATGATAATCCCCGTCGAGTTCTAGGTACGAGAACAAAAGCCCGTCGCGAGCTCAAGCTCTGCGAAAAAAGACATCGATACAATGATTCATATACTATAAGAAAACAATGACTCGAATCAGAAAGAACTGAGGATAACAAGAAATCAAAAATCACCTGAAGGAAAGAGGAGGAGGACGGAGAAGGATCTAAAGCTTGTGGCGGCGCCATGGAAATGGCCGCCGTGTTTAGCGCCATCAATTGCATATCTCTCCTCCGCTCGAAAAAAAAAAAAAAAAGCTAAACTCGGAGATGATATTTTGATTCGATCGACGACGGGTCGAGAGATTTCTTGTTAAGTAAAATCCAAGACTAACCGGAGCCACGTTTTGGTTTGATATGGAAATAGGTAGAACCAACTATTAAACCGGATATATAACTTACCAAACTTTTATTATCTTGACTCATCTATGCATATAGTTCCATGTAAAACGTTTAGGATCTTTAGTTTCATATAACAAATCACGATTGCTCTTTAGACTTTAGATATAGGTCAGTCGATATATTTACTTTATATGAAATGTGATGTGACAAACATTTTGTATGTACAAGTACTTAACACTTTTAGGGTAACAAATAAGTGAAATTTGTATCTAAATTTTTCACAGATTGGTAAGGTTTACTCACTTCAGTTTGCGGTCAATGGTCAAACTAGCTCGAGAGATTTGTCGTTCGATATGTGTTCCAAACTCATCTTCTTTGTTCATAACTTGGATAGATAGGTAAATGAGAAACAGATTTTCGACTATTCGTCTTATCGAAGATCCGCGCTACAACTTTGGTTTCACTCTAGAAATTAAGTTTGAATCTATAATCTCTGTTTTCTAACAATTCACTTTTTCATAATATTGAATGGCTATAAAATGGATTTTTTTTTGAAAAACTATTTGACAAGCTAAAATTGTTCAAGAAGGCAATGGATGAGTGTAATTAACGCTTTGTTTTCCGTTTCTTCCAAAGTTGTCAATTTTGGAATTGAAGCTTTGTATTCAATGTTTTGTTTTAGAGTAATGTTAGCCTAGGAAAAAGTGAGCGTTATAAGCATTTGTCGTTTCACCAATTCACGAGATAAGAACTACCAGTGTTTTTGACGTTTAAGACAAAAACAAAAGCAATTGTCGTTTAATAATGATGTTAACCTAGGAAAAAGTGAGTGTTATAAGCAATTGTCGTTTCACGAGTTCACGAGATAAGAACCACTAGTGCTTTTAACGTTTAACATAAAAACATAACGTTCTTTTTTTCTGGACCAAACTTTATTTACGTAAACCAAAAAATGAGTCGGAGTTTTGAAACTAACATTTTGTTTTCAGTGTCGTACGAGCTTATCAGTTTTGTAACCGAAGCTTTGCTTTTCGTGTCTTCTATTTAAGTGATATTAACCAAGGAAAAATTGGCATTTGAAAGCCGTTTTTTGGAAAGATATAGTTTTTAAGTGATAGTTCTCGTGAATATTATAATAATCATTTGAAACTAATTAAAATAAAATAAAAATATATAAAGTATTTATTTGTCTCTCTAGGTTTTAGTTTCTACTTGCACTCTATTATTTGCCTTGTAGAGTTAGGACAAATGGCACTTCTGTATATGTGAGTAACGTAACGCCTCTCTGCGTTTTCACACGGCTATAAATAATAGCAATTGAAACACTCCTCCCTCAAGCAAGAACCAGCTTCTTCATTAAAGGTTTAGTTTCAAGTTTTCATTTTTCATTAGAGTTAGAAGATCTCATCAAAATCATTTTTTTCTCATTCTCCAACTTAAACTGTTTAGTCGTAGTTTTAATTTTGCAGGTGATATTATACAAAAAACTGGTAAGGATAATGGAGAAAGAAGAGGAACAAAAATTGGAGTGGCTTGAATCTCAAAAGATAGAGACGAGCATTGACCTATTTGCTGCTGCCAAACAACAACTTCAGTTCCTAGCAGTTGTTGAACATAAACCTTGGCTCTACCATGGTCCTATACTCGAAAAAGCCATCTACAGGTAAACCAAAACCACTAAATCTGTTTGCTTCATACAATACATGTTCATCTCTTTAAATTCATCCAAAATATGTTTAAAATTAATAATACTTTAATTTTATCTTTTTAGATACAATGCTTATTGGCTTCCTTTGCTTGCCAAATATTCCGAGTCTTCTGATATCTTGGAAGGACCATTAGTCCCTCCTCTTGACTGTGAATGGGTTTGGCATTGCCACAGACTTAATCCCGTAAGCTTATATCTTCGAATTCGCATAATATGAAAATGCATACATAGTATTATTACATGTCAGTGAAATATATATATCTTTGTTTCATATATAGCTCATGATTTTTGTTAATCATCTAGGTGAGGTACATAGTAGATTGTCATATATTATACGAGAAAGTTCTGGACAATTCTGGCGTTACATCTTCTACAAGTGGAAGCTGCAAACTACAAACTGAAAATTTGTGGAAGGAATTGTACCCTATGGAGCCTTATGAGCTTGACATGGTTAAGGCCAACTCAGAGCGGGTGGATCTCTCAACTCTTGAGAAATACACCACCTACGATCTTGTTTCAGCTGTCAACACGCAAAGCTCATTTTACTATACGGTAAACAATAAAGAACTAGTTTATAATTAGTTAAATACACATGGCTTTGAAACTTATAGTACACAAGTTATACAGGTTTCTAATGGAATTGTTGGTGTATCTTTGCTACAGTTTGCTAAAACTCATGATGTGGATAGTGACATCATAATTCAAGAAGCTGTTGGTAGATACAAAGCATTTCTCCACTTGCTCAAGAGAAACAAAGAAAAGTCTATCAAACTGATCATTGCTCCGACTTACGATATTGATCTAATCTGGCACACACATCTGCTACACCCGTCCTTTTACTACAAGGATACGGTAAAGATCCTTGGTAGCATCTTACAACATCTTTATGGTAAAGACTCTAACAAAAGCAAAGCTGAGACTCTTGAATCTGTCTTCTCCGAAATTTCTGCTCAATGGGAAGACACATATGGTCAAATCTATTGTAAAGCCAGAGCAGAGACGTCTACAGAGATGGAGGCTGTTAACTCATATTCTCCTTAAAGTTCTTAGTTTTGGTTTTGTAAACAAAGATTTCTCTCAACTCTTTGCAATTCTATATTTTCTTCATCTATATATTATGATCATGTGTTCTCTGTTCATGTGTAAGTGTTATGCTCATTGGGTTTTCGGATTTCCAAAAGGATGATTATATAGATGCATATGTGAATCATTAATAATTGAACTCAGTTATATAAAGTTTAGCCTAATACAGTAATTGAACTCAATTAATAATTGGGTCGGTTTGGTTCGGTTAAAATGCCCACCCTTCATGATTGGCTTTTTTATTGGGCTTTAGGCCCTTTTTCTTTTTGGCCCAACACACATGAAATAGCTAACAAATTTCTCTTCTTCTTCTTCTTCTATGCTCAGCACTGACCTTTCTTCGATTCGTTCGTTCAGTGAAATCACCAAAATTTCCATAACTTTCAAGAGAGAGACAAAATAGAGAGATTAAGAAATGGTGAAGGTGCGAATGAACACGGCGGACGTCGCCGCAGAGGTCAAGTGCTTGAAGCGATTGATCGGTATGAGATGCTCCAACGTCTATGATATATCTCCCAAGGTAACAAACTTCTTGAATACGCCAACATCTTCAAATCCCCCCCAATTCGTGTTTTCGATTTCATTTAGGGCTTATCTTTTGATTTTGCTCCGATTTGATGTGCAGACGTATATGTTCAAGCTCTTGAATAGTAGTGGTATCACAGAATCTGGTGAGAGTGAGAAAGTTTTGCTTCTAATGGAAAGTGGTGTTCGTTTGCATACCACAGCTTATGTCCGGTAAAAAAACAATCTCTATTCATTTGTATTTTCAGGTTTTGGATTTGGGCAGTAGTAATGGTTTTTGGTTCTTTCACAAATTGTGTAGGGATAAGAGTAATACTCCATCTGGGTTTACTTTGAAGTTGAGAAAACATATCCGGACTAGGAGGCTTGAAGATGTACGGCAGCTTGGTTACGATAGGGTATGCAAGCTGGTGTTATCTTGTGTGTTTGTTTGGTTTGCATCTGTTGCGTTTTTTTTCGTTTTAACTTTTGTTTTTGGTACCAGATCATTGTATTCCAGTTTGGGTTAGGTGCTAATGCATACTATGTTATATTGGAGTTGTATGCTCAAGGAAACATTATTCTTACTGATTCTGAGTATATGATCATGACACTCCTCCGGTCACATAGGTTAGTTGATCTTCTTCTCAAGGTGACTATGATCACCTGCTGCTTTAAGATACATTTTTGGTTCCCTCAACTGGTGTTGCCTTTCTAGTAAATTGTTTTATTTCCATTTATACAGAGATGACAATAAGGGTTTTGCTATCATGTCTCGTCACCGTTACCCGATAGAGATATGTAGAGTTTTTGAGAGAACCACTGTTTCGAAGCTTCAGGAGTCACTTACTGCTTTTGCGCTTAAGGATCATGAGGCAAAACAGATTGAACCAAAGGAGCAGAATGGTAGCAAAAAGGGTGGGAAGTCAAATGATTCTACGGGGGCCAAACAATATACCTTGAAGAATATCCTTGGTGACGCTTTAGGCTATGGGCCACAGCTCTCAGAGCACATTATTCTTGATGCTGGTCTAGTTCCAAGTACCAAACTTTCAGAAGACAAGAAGTTAGATGATAATGAGATTCAGTTATTGGTTCAAGCGGTGATAGTTTTTGAAGATTGGCTTGAAGATATTATCAATGGTCAAAAAGTTCCTGAAGGTTATATCCTAATGCAAAAACAATTTTTGGCAGATGACACACATTCTGAATCAGGAGGTGTTAAAAAGGTCACTATTTTACTCTATGCCTCTTCATTTTTTTAATTCTATAAGGGCAATATATTTATATATTGTATTTGTCTTTTGCCTGGTTGTCTGCAGATGTATGACGAGTTCTGTTCAATCTTATTAAATCAATTCAAATCAAGAGTCTATGAACAGTTTGAGACTTTCGATGCGGCTTTAGATGAGTTCTACAGCAAAATTGAGAGCCAAAGGTCTGAACAACAACAAAGGGCAAAAGAAGATTCTGCTAGTCAGAAACTTAATAAGATTCGCCAGGATCAGGTTTGTGGCATTGATATTTATTGATGTACTTGGTTGGAATTTCCATTTCCTTATTTTGCCGTAGACTTTTCTCTATCTTTTAAACTTATTTTAATTGTGATATCTTTGTACGCATGGTGTAGGAAAACCGTGTTCAAGTTCTGAAGAAAGAAGTCAACCATTGTATTAATATGGCTGAATTAATCGAATACAACTTAGAAGACGTAGATGCTGCCATATTAGCTGTACGTGTAGCGCTTGCAAAGGGTATGGGATGGGATGATCTAGCTCGCATGGTCAAGGAAGAGAAAAAATTAGGAAATCCTGTTGCTGGACTTATTGACAAACTTTATCTAGAAAAGAATTGCATGACCTTGTTGTTGTGCAACAATCTCGATGAAATGGATGATGATGAGAAGACACTCCCCGCTGAAAAGGTGTTGTTCTCCCCCCACATTGATTGAACACACAAAAGCTCATCTTCTTTCTTGTTCTGACATATGGATCACAATATGTGGTTTTGTAGGTGGAGGTTGACTTATCACTTTCTGCGCACGGTAATGCTAGGCGCTGGTATGAAATGAAGAAGAAACAAGAAACCAAACAGGAGAAGACTGTTTCGGCTCATGAAAAGGCTTTTCGAGCAGCTGAAAAAAAGACACGCCATCAGCTTTCTCAAGTAAGCTCCCAACTTCATCGCTATTAATTTGTTTATTGTTTTCTTTCTTGTAGGTAACTAATCATTTGCATTCTTCTTGTAGGAAAAAGTGGTTGCAACTATTTCACATATGAGAAAAGTCCACTGGTTTGAGAAATTCAATTGGTTCATTAGCAGTGAGAACTATCTGGTCATCAGTGGTCGTGATGCTCAGCAAAATGAGATGATAGTTAAACGTTACATGTCAAAAGGAGATCTGTAAGTTGTCATGTAACGAGTTATGTGGTTAATCTTTCTGTTGGTATCAAATATTCAAACATTATCATAAGTTTCTTTTCACCGTCATTTTTAGGTATGTACACGCAGAGCTTCATGGAGCATCTAGTACTGTGATAAAGAATCATAAACCTGAGCAAAATGTACCGCCTCTCACTTTAAACCAAGCTGGATGTTTCACAGTAAGCAAATTCCTCTACTATTTTAGCTGTTTGAATTGTGTGAATGTGGTGCAATGTCTTAATGGCAAAAATATGGATATAATTCGATGCAGGTTTGTCATAGTCAGGCCTGGGATTCCAAGATTGTTACTAGTGCATGGTGGGTATATCCTCATCAGGTCACTAAAACAGCTCCTACAGGAGAATACCTTACAGTCGGAAGTTTCATGATACGAGGTAAGAAAAACTTCCTTCCACCACACCCCCTCATCATGGGTTTTGGATTGCTGTTTCGTTTGGACGAGAGCTCCTTGGGAGCTCATCTGAATGAGAGAAGGGTAAGAGGTGAAGAGGAAGAAATGAATGATGTAGTAATGGAAACGCATGCTCCTATTGAGCATTCAGATGCTGAGTCAGAGAATGAAGCAGTGAATGAAGCGATTTCTGCCCCAGTGGAAGTTAATTTACCGGAGTCAAGTACAGCATTGAGCCAAGATACTTCTTCTTTTGACACGAATTTATCTGGTATTGCTGAAAAAAATGTTACAACGGCTACCTCAGAGCTAGAAGATCTACTTGATAGAACCCTTGGTCTTGGTGCGGCAACGGTGGCAGGCAAGAACCATACAATAGAGACATCTAAGGATGAAATGGAAGAGAAGATGAAACAGGAAGAGAAAAAAGCAGCAGTGAGAGATAAGCCTTACATGTCAAAAGCTGAAAGAAGAAAGCTTAAGATTGGCCTAAGCGGGAACCCCGCAGCTGATGGTAACACTGGGCAAGAAAAACAGCAACAAAAAGAAAAAGATGTTACTTCTTCAAGCAAAGCCAACAAGAGCATACCTGATAACAAGCCGGCTGGGGAAAAAATTAGCCGTGGGCAAAGGGGTAAACTAAAGAAAATGAAGGAGAAGTATGCTGATCAAGACGAAGATGAAAGAAAAATACGAATGGCATTGTTGGCAGTAAGTACTTTCCTAATAGGATTCTCCATAGACATAGCCAATTAATTCTTATTATCAGTATTTGATGACTGTTATATGGATAAAAAATAAAAAATTTCTTCCTTATGCAGTCTTCTGGAAAGCCACAGAAGAATGATGCTGAAGCACAGGATGCAAAGATTGTTGTAACAGAAGAGAAAAAACCTTCTGAAGGTAAACTTTTTGGTCTTTTCATTTCGCTGAAGCTGTTTGTTCTCCTAAATTTTGATTAAAAGTGTCATTATATGATCCTGAGAGTTGTCTGGTTGTGGTGCAGAGACGGAAGATGCTGTGAAAATATGTTACAGGTGTAAGAAGGTCGGACATCTTGCTAGGGATTGTCATGGGAAAGAAACTTCAAACATGGACAAAGTGGTTATGGAAGAAGAGGATATTAATGAGGTTGGGGAAGAAGAGAAAGAAAAACTTATAGATGTCGATTACTTAACTGGTAACCCGTTGCCAACAGACATTCTCTTATATGCGGTCCCGGTGTGCGGCCCCTACAATGCCCTTCAGTCATATAAATACAGAGTCAAAGCGATTCCAGGGAGCATGAAGAAAGGAAAGGGTAATATAACACACACGCCCATTCTCTTCCAAATATCTATAAACCTCAACTAATAGCTTTTGGATACTATTGATGTTGTTTTGTGTGTATCTGCACAGCTGCAAAAACTGCAATGAATCTGTTTACACACATGTCAGAAGCAACAGTAAGGGAGAAAGAGCTGATGAAGGCGTGTACCGATCCAGAGCTGATGGCTGCTCTTGTCGGGAATGTGAAGATCACAGCAGCAGGTTTGACACAGTTGAAGCAGAAACAGAAGAAAGGCAAAAAAAGCGGGAAACAACAAAAAAGCTAGGTTTTTAGGTAAAACTGCTCTGCATTATCTTTACAAGAAGCTAACGAAGCCTTTTTTTTCTTTTACTATATAGAGCATATTGGTTCATATGTTTGTATGTTCACTTGTGCAAAAACGAAGCCTCAAGTTACAACATTTGATGATGACTTCGATGTGCCATTTCTGATTCAAGAGAGCTCTAGTTATGAACTCAAAAACCATTGAAGAGGCTAGCAAATGCATCATTAGTTAAAATCCAGAAATAGCTAAAAATCCAACAAACTCAAAATAGCTAACAAAATCCTACGGCATGGATTCTTCTGCTCCTGTTTTCTTGCTCTTAAAACATATGTTTTCTTCTTCTTCTTCTTCATTCTTTTGGTTTTTGGTAGCGAACTCAGAAATAATTCCCGAATTCCAATTTGATCAACCTCTTTACTTCTCTTCTTTCTTCTTCCTTCTTCATAAAAAAAAAAAACTTTAATATATTTCTACACTCAGTAATCTCCAAATCATCATTATACGAAGAAGGAAGAGTTATTAAGAGCATCATCAACTTTTTAATTATTTATTATTGGGGTTTCATTTTGCATTCGATTATCTATTTTTCCCACAATTTATATACAAAACCTAACAACAACAAAAAAAAGAGAATCTGCAATTTTGGGTAAGGTTTAATTCTTGTTTCTTGTGTCCCTTCCGATTTAATCACAACCAAAAAAAACAAAAAAGAGATATTTTGATGGCGGAGGAGAGATCGACGACGAGTAAGGTGAAGTTCATGTGCAGTTTTGGCGGCAAAATCCTCCCTAGACCATTCGATGGCATTCTCAAATACGTCGGCGGCGAGACTCGTGTCATTGCTGTATCTCCTGACATCTCCTTCTCCGGTATATTAATTTAACAACAACTCTTCCCCTAATTTGATTAAGTAATCTCTCAAATACATCTTCTTAATCATCATCGACCTTCTTGGTGATTTCAATGGCAGAACTCATGAAGAAACTCACGGCAATCACAGAGAACGATATAGTCCTCAAATACCAGATCATTCCGATAGATCTTGATGCATTAGTCTCTGTAAAGTCTGATGAAGATGTCAAACACATGATAGAGGAATATTACCGTCACGAAACACCTAAACTAAGAACCTTCTTGTTTCCTGCAAACCCTGTGGTTCTTGAGCATCAGTTAGGTCCCATTGAGCCACAGACCATTGAGCAACGTTACATTGAAGCCATCAACGGTATCGTTCGCACACCCAAGAGTAATGTTGCTGCTCTTCGTGCTCCCATCAAAACACGGCCTTCTTTCACCGTCTCTACATCTTCCTCTCCCAAATCAGAATCGTCGCCTGATGGATACAGTCACGAGCCGCCAGAGACGAGTTTTCAGAACGGCTACCAATTGAGCCGGCTTTATCCAATGCATAGAGTACATAGCAGTCCCAACATCTCACAGCAGATGCAGATGCAGCAGCCACACAACCACCACCACAATGCATACTTGCAGTCCCCTAACAGGCTGCGACCACCAGCACCTTTAGACTTCCCCAGAGGCACAGGCTGGGGGGACGCACAATCACCGAGTCACGGTTTTAACCAGTTATACACAACCACACATAACTCAGGTGGTGGTAATGGCAGGTACGGTTACAATGAAGAGCGCAGGTTCTGGGGCAGAGCAAGCAGCGTTCCTCAAAGTCCTAAGCACCACGGATTCCGCCTCTGATGTGTTTACGCTGCATAACATCGCAACCATCTGTGTATATTATTTGGTCTTGTGTTAGTTGTACAGTTTAACTGTGTAGATATCTAACATGCGCCTGCATAGTATGCTGCAGAGGAGCGTCTACTACTTTGTGAAAGGCTGCAAGAGGTTTGATTTATTTGTACATGTTTTGTAACAACACTGCTTTCGTGGACAATTTGTGCTCCAGAATATTGATTGCTTCACTTATGTGTTTAAAAGACAAAATTTGACTCTTACCATTCATTCGTTGCCCACAGATCAAATTATCCTTCCTACAAAATCATGGACAAACCCCAAGAATATTACTAGTATGAATCCCCGATTTGTATTATTTGCTGTCTGTGAAGTCAGCGTCGATCACATCACCACCATTGTCTCCATCTTTGGTTGAGGATGATGAGTCAGACCCCGAGGAAGCTTCACCTCCTCCAGGAGGAGAACCAGCACCACCTGATTGTGGTTGGTTGTACAGAGACTGGCCAATCTGCATCACTTCTTGGTTAAGAGCTGCCATGGTGTCTTTGATTTCTTGGGTTGATCCACTTTCAATCTTCTCCTTCAGCTCTTGGAGCTTAGCCTCGACCTTTTCTTTTACTGGACCTGGAATTTTCTCTCCAAGTTCCTTTAGCTGCTTCTCTGTCTGGTACACGATGGAATCAGCCTGGTTCTTTGTGTCAATCGCATCTCTCTTTTCTTTGTCTTCCTTAGCAAACCTCTCTGCTTCTTGCACCATTGTGTCTACCTGCAACAAACCCAAAACCAATACGATTTATTAAACATGAAAAGGAAAAAAGACTAGGATTCCAAAAAACGTGAAGCAAATTTAATAATAATTATACACACCTCATCCTTTGGCAAGGTACTAGCACCAGTAATGGTGATGTCCTGCTTCTTTCCTGTGCCTTTGTCGGAGGCACTGACAGATAGAATTCCATTGGCATCAATGTCAAACTTGACCTCGATTTGTGGAACTCCACGTGGTGCAGGCGGGATACCATCAAGACGGAAGCTACCAATAGACTTGTTATCTCTTACAAACTCTCTCTCACCTTGTAACACATTAATCTCAACGCTTGTCTGTCCATCTGCAGCAGTTGAGAAGACTTCTGACTTAGAAGTTGGAAGTGTGGTGTTTCTTGGAATGATCTTGGTCATGACACCACCAAGAGTTTCCAAACCAAGTGACAGTGGAGTCACATCAAGAAGAACAATGTCACTCACATCACCAGATAGAACACCAGCCTGAAATCAGAGGCCAAATTGCAGTTAAGCGATAGCTCATCAAAGTACAATGGTACGATGTAAATTATAATGTGAAGATTAGATGTGAATATGAACACACCTGAACTGCAGCACCTAGAGCTACAACTTCATCAGGATTGACTGACACATTGGGTTCTTTCCCTGTCAGTTTTCTTACGAGTTCTTGAACAGCAGGAATACGTGTTGACCCACCAACAAGAATCACCTCATCAATATCTTTGAAGCTGAGTTTTGCATCCCTCAGGGAGTTCTCGACCGGTGTCCTGACCCTACAAGTTTGAATGCAGAGAATAGAAACTTAAGCCTTTATGGTAATTCACATAGCAATCTTATTTACATGGCCGGTTATTTATCTTAGCCATTAGAAAAAATATAACTAAAATCACCTGTCCAGTAAGTCTGAGCACAATTCCTCAAACTTGGCTCGGGTGAGAGTGGTTTCAATGTGCTTAGGACCATCAGCCGTGGCAGTAATGAAAGGCAAACTGGACACAGAAATCTCAATCAATTAATATCCCACATACCAATGCGGACCAGGTAAATAGAGATTTGAGAGGGAAAATTGAACCTCATGTTAGTCTGAGTCAGTGAAGAAAGCTCAATTTTTGCTTTTTCAGCTGCCTCAGTTAACCTCTGAAGTGCTTGCTTGTCTTTAAGAAGATCGATGCCTTCATCTTTCTTGAAAGTTGATGCAAGCCAATCAACAACTCTCTGCATCGGAAAAATTGTATTTACCAGGTTAGTGAACAGATTAAGGTTCCCTGCCTTTAGTATTAAGACAAGTCAATGTTTTGACTCACCTTGTCAAAGTCATCACCTCCCAGGTGTGTATCACCAGAAGTAGAAAGCACTTCAAAAACACCATCACCAACCTCAAGGACTATATTACAAGAACCACCCAAAAAAATTAGAATATAATCCAATACCTACGAATGTGCAATTCCAAGTAGAACTTTCTAAAAAAGTACCTGAGACATCGAAGGTACCACCACCAAGATCAAAGACTAGAATAGTTTCATTGCTTTTCCTCTCGAACCCATAAGCCAAAGAAGCAGCAGTAGGCTCATTGATAATACGAAGAACTTCCAATCCAGCAATACGTCCAGCATCTTTAGTAGCCGTCCTTTGTGAATCATTGAAGTAAGCAGGCACAGTAATGACCGCTTTAGTTACCTTATCATTCAAAAATCTAGAAGCATCATCCACAAGCTTCCTCAAAACCTACATTTACAACCACAGAGTACTCAGTAAAGCACCATCACCCAACTTCATCACCTTAAATTCACAAGAAGGAAAAATTCATTCAAACCTGAGCAGAAATCTCCTCAGCAGCGAATTGTTTACCAATAGCAGGACAATCAAGCTTAACATTCCCATTCTCATCTTTAATAACTCTATACGAAACCTGCTTAGACTCTTCAGCAACCTCATTCATTCTCCTACCAATAAACCTCTTAACAGAGAAAAAAGTGTTCTCCGGGTTAACAACAGCTTGACGCTTCGCAATCTGACCAACAAGTCTATCTTTGCTTTTAGTGTAAGCGACAACAGAAGGCGTAGTTCTCTGACCTTCAGCGTTAGTAACAATCGTTGGTTTACCTCCTTCCATGGCAGCTACGGCTGAGTTCGTTGTACCTAAATCGATTCCGACTACTTTCTCGTTAACCACACGGACGGGACCAACCGTGTATCTGGAAGCGTTGTTGTTTCTTCTTCCCATACGAAGGAAGGCGGAGCTTGGGGTAGTGAAAGGACTTGTTCTGTTGCCGAAGAAGACGCTTCGTGGAGTGGAATTGGTTTTACCATCGAGGTTTTTAGAGGAGGAGGAGGAAGAAGAAGAAGGGAATCCGATTCCGCCGAGGATGTGAATTTGTGCGGCGGAGGAAGCCATGGCTAGAGAAGGGAGATTGGAACCCTAAGAGGAAATGAAGAGAGTTAGGTGGAGGAGGAGGAACCGAGGAAGAAGAAGAAGAAGAAGAAGAAGATAAGAAGAGGGTTCTAGAAAATGGTTGGTGCTGATGGCGGCTAATATATGTTATGTTATGCCCATCTCGATTTGCATTTCTTTTATTGGATTTAAGATATAGTCTGGGCTTTTCATAACAGGCCTGAGCCCAATACGATGTTTAATATACAATTATGTCGAACCGCAGACTGATTCAGAAGCACCAACGGTAGGCTGGTCCTAATTCGGTTTGGCCTCGGTTTGGTACAATTGGTGTTCTATTTGGTTAGGATTCAGTTCTATTTGGTTTTGATTCAGCTTCGGATCTTGAACAAGAAACCGATCTAAAATATAATTATTTATGGATATTTTTTCGTTTTGGTTCTAATTGAAAAGTCCGAGTTCTCTCTCATAGTTTTGGTTCTAATTGTTCACCCCCTTCCCTTGTAACCAATAAAAATGATACATGTCATATTACTTTAAATTTGTCATATTTTTAATAAAAACTTAAAATTAATAAATGAAACAAATTATGTAAATAAAACATTAAAAAGAAATCAGTTTAGTTAACGGCGTCGTCACTCGACACCATTTTTTTTTTAGGTTTTCAATTTTTTTAATTTAGTGGCCATTGATTTATTTTGGATAACTGCTGTTCCTATTGCCATTGATGAACATCTCCACCCTCTTTTGTTGTAGTCATGGGCAACGGAAGTTAGGAATTGAAAATATAAGAGTTTGTTTGTTTCTCTCTCTCTCCGTAGAAAAACAGAAGTGGGAAGGTTTCAAAACCAAAACAAACCTATAATTTTTACTAGACTAACAGTATTAAATCAGATAATTTGGTTAAACAAGCCTGGGAGATACACCACCACTGTTATTTCTGAGGTAAGGTCACGATATTAATATTGTAGCATCTTTACACACACATATGCATATCTATATATTACACACGTATAACTAACTTTCTTAACCAAAAAAAATAATAAAATAAGCAGAGATGATCATAATTACCTGCATGTAATTTGGTTGATGTTAGAAGTATGGTTGAAGACTATGTTTTTATTTAGTTATAATCTCAGGATATTTTGGAAGAAATCGGCTATACTTGGTGCTATATGATCAAGCTGGTTATGGAGAGAGGGATCCAAATCTGAAATGTTTGTTGAAGATCGAAGCCTCCGTTGTTCAAGAACTAGCTGTGATGAGTTGCAGATTCCATGTTGTATTTGATCGAAACTGAGAGTTCAACCTCGTTATTCTATTTGATCTAAATGTGAATGGTTGTAGTCTTGTATAACTAATCATTTGTGTTTTAGAAGAAAGTTATAAAATAAGACCGAATGTGATTGTGCAAGAAAGTGATTCTACAAGAAAAGGAAAAAATCAACCTAGATTTAATAGTTGGTGTTAGGGAAGAAACTATTAATAAATAAAATCATATGCCCTGTTCTGAATGATAACAAGCTTTACGCAGGCCCACCTTCCTGCAAAATATAAGATTTCATGTTATTTACAACAAATACAAATAACTCAAATACAAATAGTAGTACAAGAATGAGAAATTTGCCTGGAACACTTGTGAGAGACACGACTCGTCATATACGGTCGAGCTAGTGGTGGCAACAGAGGACTGAGTATGGAGAGTAAGAGATGAGTCCTGAAATAATTAGTGATCATATATTGATTAATTTACATTTAGATGACCATTGGACATAAAGTCATAAACAATTAAGAAAATAATATTATTAAGTACCTGAAATGATAATTTTTTCTTTGCTGTAGCACTACTTAATGCTTTTGATATGCGTCGATTTTTAGTTTCAAGAACACTCAAATATCGACCATGGGGTCCGACTTTTTTTTTCTTTGATCGTCCAAGAGAAGCTTTTCTTTTTATTCCACGTGCATTTGTAACTTCTTCGTCTTCGTTTTCTTCTTCTTCTTCTTTTTCTTCTTCCACAAGTTCAACATCCGAAGTTCTCAAAAGTTCCTTTTTCTTTTCCTCCAATTTTTTAAGCAACTGAAAGGCAAATTCATTTGCGCACAACGTTAACTCTATATGATCCGCAGCAACAGATGCAATCTCACGGAATGTACGACATATATGGCTATATCTCCTTCCAATCGATTGCTTCACTGTTTCACTATGTCTCTCTGAATGATAATAAGATATGCTTCTTGCTTTTGCCTCTTTACTCCATCGATTCAGAATATAAGCAGATGGAATTCTTCTAACATTCTTCTTGTCTAACACTTTCAACGCATGACGACATAAGATCCCGGCAAAAGAAAACTTCATGCAACTACAATGTATTTTTTCGTTTGTAGCATCATAATTAACCAAATGTTCTCGTGCTACACCACGAAAAGATACCTTGTATTCATACACCATCTCAGACTTACTGACCTTTTTAGCAACGTAATCACCGATAACTGTGTATTGCTTCTGAAACAAGCTAAAAACTTCTGGTGTATACACTTCCTCTGCATGTTGCAACATCTCTACAGTAGCAGATAATACCGGCGAGGTATGCATCATATTGAAGTCAGCAATTAATTCTTTATATCGTCGATCTTCTAACACTCTCTCATAGTGTTCAAAGAAACACAACAAGTCATAACTACGCTTCAAATATTTTTTCAAAATATTATTCATACTTTCACTACGTTGTGTGCTCACCATATCTGCTGTAAAAGTGTGACGTCCATATACCATTGCCCATTTTTCTCTCAGCTCAAACAAATTCTTCAACCATTTATTCTCTGTAAGATTATGCTTCTTGAGCATATCGCTCCATGCGAATAACCAGTCTTCTTCTTCCTCATGGTCATATACACATTTACTTAAGTCCATAGCAAATTGTTCAACTCCATGAAATATATGACTCAGCTTCTTTGCGGCATTTTGGTAAATATGCCAAACACATAACCTTTGTTTAGTTTCAGGAAATACCTTCATTATTGCATTCGCCATTGCTGCACATTGGTCTGTAAGAATTGTTTTTGGCTGTTTTCCAGACATTGCTCCAAGAAATGTCTCGAAAAGCCACTTATATGACTCAGTAGTTTCATCATACAAGAGAGCAGCACCAAACACTATAGTTTGCTTGTGGTGATTAACCCCGACAAATGGCGCAAAGGGCCTATCATATTCATTGGTCTTATAAGTTGTGTCAAAGCAAACGACATCTCCAAAACGATTAAAATCACTTATAGACCGATCATCCGCCCAAAAGATATTAGTGATCATATCATCCTCATCAAGTTGCATTGAATAAAAGAAAGATGAATTATCCTCTTTCTTTTTTTGAAAGTATTCCAAAACTGCTCCAGCATCTCCCTTCTCCATTTTTGCCATTCGCTTCCGGTATATATAATTCCGATAGTCTTTTTCTAGAAACCCCAAATTTGCTCGGCCCCCAACTTCTCTACTCATCATTTCAACGGTTGCCTTTGCTGAAATTCCTGACATGTCGGCATCACTAGCATGTTGTTTTTGAGAGACTGAAATTTCCCGGTTGCCCTTCAACAAATGCTTCATGGGTGTCCTCACTAAATCATGGTTATGGTTAGGCTCAAAAGACACAATCTTATATTTTCCGCTCTTCTGAAGGTAACAAGTCATATGAGCATTACAACCACACCGTGTGATTGGTTGTGAATATGATTTTTTTACCGTATGCTCTTTCCTATACCCCTGTTTGGAACAAACATAGAGAAGCCTTACTACCTTCTCTTTTATTTTCTTCCTCCGTTGTTTCCTTACGTTGAAACCATGACTGCCTCCATACTTTTTATAAGCTATATATGCAGCCTCATCAGAACTAAACTCCATTTCAGTACATAGTTCATCTTTCTTCTCATTTTCTTTGTTTGGTTCTAAACCAGCAATGTCTTCAGTTTGAACATAATCCTCTTTGTTGCCTATTTCATCTTCTTCTTCAAATTCACTGATCGAAGCTTCATCTTCACTTATTAAATCATCTTCTTCTTCTTCTACTAAAACTTCTTTTGAATTTTGACTTAACAGACTGAATTCACCAGAGACTTGCAAAATAGATTCACACTGATCATGAAGAACAGCTTCATGGCCACTTAAATGACTACTCTCCATTGCAAGCTGCACTAACTATTTTAATCTTAGCATTTAATAATCAAGGAAAAAAAACGGTAAAGAAGAAAAAAAGTTTGATCTCAAATAAAATACTCATCAATCGTCATAATAATTAACTATTTAGGAATTCATATAACATGACGGGAGGGCTAGATAACAAGACTCACAAACCCAAAACAAAGAAGCATACATAAGCATATACAAATCAATTGCATTCACGTGATCTTCTATTTTTGCATTAATTTTTTTATTACAGATTGTAGCTACAAATCACTATGGCTTTTACAAATACATATACGATGTGATAGACTAAAAACTATGCATATGCTTTCACTAATATAACACTGCAAACTATGAACGATAATCAATTAGATGAAAACTAATAAATTCTGAGAGAGACTTGAGACTATAGGCTTCTCTGGTTTCTAGATGTAGAATATACCTTCTAAAAACGTAGAAGAATTCAATTGTGTGATCTGGTCGTATGGCTCATGCAGCTGAAATAATTCCAGTTCAAATACAACGAAAAAGGGTGAATACGTTCATCAATGGCCACTAAATTAAAAAAATTGAAAACCTAAAAAAAAAATGGTGTCGAGTGACGACGCCGTTAACTAAACTGATTTCTTTTTAATGTTTTATTTACATAATTTGTTTCATTTATTAATTTTAAGTTTTTATTAAAAATATGACAAATTTAAAGTAATATGACATATATCATTTTTATTGGTTACAAGGGAAGGGGGTGAACAAAAGGATTCACCCCTAGGGGTGAATCCAAGAATTGTTCGTCCACAGTCCACATATGAAGCATGAGGCTGATGCAAGTGACGTGTTAGACATTGTTTCGCTCCTTTGTTACTTGTTGTCTTTAAACAACACCATTCCAATTTCAACACGGTTTATTTCTTTCTTTTTTTTTGCCATTATGTGCGTCGTGTGTGTTAATCATTATCCCAATTTTAATAATTGCAAATTCAATACCTTTTTTTTTTTTTTAAATAAAATCAGCATGAGTTACATACAGTGTTATGTCTGTGTGTGGACATTGCTTATAAGTAAAGTTATTAAAAAAAATATATATATAGTTGAGACGTTTTGATCAAAATTAATTAAGAAGATTTTTTATCTTTTACGAACCATATAAAACTAGACCAATTATTCAGGAGATAATATTTTATTAAATTTCTTCCATTAAAACAAAACTCTGTTCTGTTCCTCTCATAAGTCACAACAACTGTCCTATACACACAAAAATTGAAAAAGTCACGAAATTTTTATGAATCTAATCTTCTTCGGCTTTGATCGTTTCGTCTCTGCCACAAATCAATTCTGACGATTTTTTTATTCTTGTTTCTTCTTTGATTCAGAGCAACTTGTTTCAGGTATACTCTCTTTACTTTCTCTGTTTGTTACTTACTGTTCGTCTTCATGGATTACAGCAATGTAGAATTGTTCTGTTGTGTATATAATTTAATTTAATTTAATTGTTACCCATTAACTATGTTCTCTCTGCAACACTACCTGTGTTTTGTATTTTCTTATATCTGATGTACAAAAGAACCAGAAGAATGAGTTTTTAAAATTATCTGTTTTGTTTTCAAGATCAATGTTTGAGGAAAAGATCATGGATAGTGCTGAAGATGACAAATCTTGGAACCCTTCTGATACTAAAGTAAGCTTCTTTTTTTTTTAACATGGATGTGTTGAGGGACGTCATTACATAGACTTGATTTGGATAGCTTAAACTTCTGGGTTCTGTTATAGTTTCTTATCCATTAACTTTGGAGTCCTTAAACCTGCATCAACCAATACTTGTAACCCTATAATTCTTTTGTACTTCTTTAATCTGTGTTTCATGGATTTGTTTAAATGGATTTTTTTCTTCATGAGGAATCTTTGTAACGTATGCAAATGCGTCTTGAAAGTTAAAAGGAGGGGTTTTGTTAAGTTTACACTCATCAACGTTGCTTTTCTTTTCTTCTTACCTGAATCTTTCAAGTATAATGTTGTCTTGGTTTTTAAATATTTCTCAAATCAGGTTGATCCTGCAGTACCTTCATCTTTGACATGGCAAAGAAAGATAAACAGTGACGGCAAGGCTCCCCGGGAATTCAATCTGACTCCTAAAGAGATTTTTCAGCTGGTACCTACCTCTATTGGAAAACAAAACGTTTCAAATATAACTCTTGTTAATATTCTGCAGACTGTTTGATAAGCTTAGTCATCAAAACCATCTTTTGTTATGTTAGGCTCCTGTCGGGATTCGATTATGGTTTCTTTGCAGAGAAGAAGCTGCTAAAGGAAGGGTAAACATATTTTAAGTTTTGGACAAAGTGCTTTTTATTTTTGTGTACATAGCCATATTGTAATAATCTATTCATTTCAGTTTGCTGCCATAGATCCATTCTGCAAGCACACTGTAACGTCTTCCCATGGTGTTCCTCTTGGAGGTATTGGGTATGTGTTTTCCTTCTTACCACTCTAATTTACCACATTGGTATGTTATAACTATATGTTTCATAGAAACAAACCATTTGGAGAACTCTCTCTCTCTCTGATCATCATATTTCATACCTTTCATACAGAACTTACTCACACAATATTGTTAAGCTCTCTTAATACTTATTGATATATGATTACATGCAGTGCTGGAAGCATAGGAAGGAGTTTTAAAGGTGAATTCCAAAGATGGCAATTATTTCCTCCAAAATGTGAAGATGAACCAGTTCTAGCAAATCAGTTCTCAGTAAGTTAGAGACTTTGCAGGAGGAACCTGATAGAAAATAGATCCAGGATGTTTTATGATGATGAACCTTGTCAACTGTTTGATGCAGGCATTTGTTTCACGAGCCAATGGTAAAAAGTACTCAAGCGTGTTGTGTCCTAAGAACCCAAAGCTTGGCAAGTAAGTACTCTCTGCTGCTTGTTAAGTTACGGTGAATATTATCTTATTGAGATATATTGAAGTTTATATATACGAACAGACAAGAGTCAGAATCTGGAATTGGTTCCTGGGACTGGAATCTGAAAGGAGACAAGTCTACATATCATGCTTTATATCCGAAGTCTTGGACAATGTATGAGGGTAATATGATTGATCTGTATGTAGTTTCACACTTCTAAATATTGATGCGTCTATGGTATGAGGCTAAAACATTAGTATTTGATGGTGTCTAGGTGAACCTGATCCAGAGCTTAGGATTGTTTGTCGTCAAGTTTCACCCTTTATACCTCACAACTACAAAGAAAGCAGCTTTCCTGTGTCTGTATTCACTTTCACAGTATGTCCAGTGATTCTTTTCTTTGGAATTGTTGTGTTGAAGAGCTTACCATAATGGTACTGATGAGTTTTGCCATATATGTGTCAGCTTCATAATCTTGGAAACACTACTGCAGATGTGACATTGCTCTTCACATGGGCGGTGAGATAAATGTTGAATGCAGTAATATTATTTGGATTTTCTTTTACTATTCCCTCATAATAGTCATGATAATTTCTTTTTGGTTTAGAATTCTGTTGGAGGAGACTCAGAGTTCTCAGGTGGCCACTACAACTCCAAGATAATGTACAAATGAAAAACCTTTTGATTCTGTACTCATCTTCTTTTATGGCTTTTCACTCCCACTTTAAAAGATATGAACTTGATCAATGTCTTGGAAATTTTCAACTTTGTGGGTATGTCTATACTAACTTGATGTTGATGATCATAATAGGATGAAAGATGGAGTCCAAGGTGTTCTTTTACACCATAAGTAAGTTCTTCCATATTCTTTGTGTAAAGCACCAAATTAGTACAAGGAACTAATCTTTTTGGTGGCTAAGAATCAGACACTTAATGTATCAACTTTGTTGCTGGATTTTTTCTAATACAGAACAGCAAACGAATTACCATCACTCTCATATGCGATTTCAGCTCAGTCCACCGATGGTGTTAATGTCTCAGCCTGCCCATTTTTCATAGTATCTGGAAAACAGAATGGAACCACAGCAAAAGATATGTGGCAAGTTATTAAGGAGGTTTGACATATCCTTCCTTATGTTAAAAAGAACCTACTATTATCTTCTTGCATATTACTGTATTAGTCTTCAGGCGATATTTGATATCCACTCATGTATTTGGTCAGAATGGTTCTTTTGATCACTTTGAGGCTTCTGAGGCATCGATGCAGTCAGAGCACGGATCATCAATCGGGGCAGCAGTAGCAGCCTCTGCAACAGTCCCACCAGGAGAGTCACGCATCGTCACATTTTCTCTGGCTTGGGACTGCCCTGAAGTGCAGTTTCCTAGTGGTAAAATATATTCTAGGTACGATTTTGCTACATAATTTTCTTAATAGTTATGGCTAAAGCCAGCTTTCTAAACAGACTCTTTTCAGGCGTTACACAAAATTTTATGGAACTGATGGTGATGCTGCAGCACAAATTGCATATGATGCTATTCTTCGTGAGGACCTCATCATCCTTAAAATTTCTTGTTCTTACATTCACTTCAGAATGAAGCTTCTACTGACAACTCTTATATGGAACAGAACATAGTCAATGGGAGTCCTGGATAGAAGCCTGGCAAAGACCAATACTTGAAGACAAGAGGCTGCCTGAATGGTAAGGCTTGTTGTTCAGCTTCTATAAGATATATCAGTGCTCATAAAGTTATTACAAACCTATGTTTGGTGTTTTTAGGTACCCTATCACTCTCTTCAACGAGCTTTATTACCTTAATTCAGGAGGAACTCTTTGGACAGGTACATTTGGAAGATTTTTATATGATACTATTTACTATCAGCCTGACATTATGACGTGATGTTCTTATGTATTCCATATTATTCTGTAGATGGATCATCCCCAGTACATAGCTTGGCAGGAGTCAGAGAAAAGAAGTTCTCACTTGATAAATCCCAACTCGGTCTGAAGAATGATATCGATGTACCGCGTCAGAATGATACAGCTATCTCTGTACTTGAAAAGATGGCATCTACACTAGAGCAACTTCATGCAT